AAAGTCACATCTACATCAGGTAATATTTAAGACCTTCCTACTATTTTAAATTGCCTGGTTTGTTACTTGTTCATTCTGGAGTGTTGATTTGACTAAAAATAAGTCATAGCTTGGTCATCTGACTTCTGCTTACTTCTTTAAAAAAAAAAAAGAGAGACTTATTTATTTATGCATATAAGAACGAGGGTATTAGCCAGTGATGGGATGAGCTGAGAGGCTTCAGCAGAGAGAGAATGGGGAGCAGAACAGGTGGATCTACTGAAATAACACTGCCAAGGGGAACAGCAGGCAAGAGAGCAGAGGGCTGCCAGGCCTTATGGGTCAGTTTCCTCACTGAATATTGAACTTATGCCCCAGCGGTGCTGAAACTTTAACTTTTGTACTGGGGGAGACCCCTGATTACTTTATCATTTAAATAAAATTTGAAGGATTTAAACATGCTTATCACAATAAGAGAAGTGCTTAAAGAACTGCTAGATTTGTTCAAATGTGTCATTTGTTCCTTTGTTTACTCAGCCCATATTGAGTGAACACCTGTGAGCCAGGCTCTGTCCCAAGCAGAGTAGATATGCAGAGTAGAATAAACATGGCCATGCAGTGACTCTAGTGTAATGAAATAGAGAATGAAGGCGTAATGAGAATAAGATGGGGGCTCTTTCCTATCACAGGAAGCTTACTTGGTGAACACAGTTGGGAGAGATAAGTCTATGCATAAAAACAGCTCAAGAGTATTTTACACCTTGAGAGCAGTAAGAACCTACACTGGAATTCCTAATCATGGTTCCTAATCTTACTACTCAGTGTGGGTGGGAGAGCTTGACCTCACAGCTCCCTGCCCTGGAGTGAGGTACAGTAAGTGGGGAAATGGGCTCAGGTGAACAATCTCCAGCAGGTAACTGTGCCCCAACCTGATATAGACCCTAAATGCTTTTACAATTTAATGAGGAGGAAATAATTATGAGCCCCTGGGGTAGTCAGGGAAAGGTGTGTGACACCAAGGGGATGAATTGTGTCTTTGTAACATTTCATTAGGTCAAAGTCAGTTGTCTCATTCTCTTTATCTGGGCTACTATGTGACCAAGCATGGAGGATTGAGTAATGAGCAAAACAGACCCCTGCTCTCCGAGAGCTCACAATGAAGGAGTAGAAGAGGGAGACAGATGAGAAAGACATTAAGGTTGTTCCACAGTATCTAAGTGAAGTGAAGACAATTAAAAGCAATGTTAGAACAACATTGTAGGGTGGGCGGTGTTGTTAGTGATGAGACTTTATTTTTGTTGGATGATAATATTATCTCTGAAGAGGTGACATGAGTAAAACTTGAGTGTTGAGAAAGGGCTGGCTGTGCAAGGAAATCAGTAGACAAAGCTGTAACGATGGGGTGGGGGTTTTCCAGTAAAGGGTTGACCTTGTAAGGGTATATTGGGGCTGAGGCTGAAAGGTGCATTTTTGTATCAGTCATGGGGGGGGGTCTTGAAGGTCAGAATTGGGCAAGAATAGGGGTGTATGTTTCTGCACATGTACTAGGGGATAAGTAGTGAGAGTGTTTAAGTGTATGCGGTGGAAACTTGTACATAGCTGGAATGGTGATGTTTAGTTCCCATGACCAGTGATGAGGGATACCCAACAATGCAATATTCTAATCATTTCCCGCAGAAAGCATAGTATAGTCCTAAAGTGTGAATTGCATATGGTACTTGACTGCCTGCTTCAAATAAGGGGGATAAGGGAGAATTGTCTGACAACTGAGATCATGGAGATGTTGGCTAAGGTAACCTACAGTCCAATGACAGGTAGTGACACGTACCTTATAAGGGTCGTGCTTTCTTAGCTTTGAAACAGCAAGTTCCTTTTGTGCAATTCCCCTTAGAATAAAGAGCTAATTGTATTTTGATTAATGCAAAGGAACAAGCCTTATGCTAGAAAATGTTTTCAATAACTAATAAAAGCTAGGTTTTGACTCAGCCCAGGTTGATAGATTAACAAAAAGCAATGTCTAAAGCATCCTTTTTTGGGAATAACTATTATTTACAAAAAGCGAAATTGCCCCAAATGTTGATACAGTTCTCTAGAAAAAGTGTTTGGGTAGTGAAGGGATTCCTGGCAGTGATTGAGCAACACAGTAATGGGGAACAGCACTTGATCTCTTTTGAGGTTGATTTTGATGTGTGTAGTCTTTACATCCTATTAAATTTTTGAAAGATAAACTGATACAAGAATGATTTGCAAAGGCCAGCAACTCTTCCTTTTAAGACCTTGGCTCAGTGTACACGTTGAGGGGATGGGGGAGGAAGATAAAAGCATTATAAATATGAGGTTAACTGAATTCAAATAGAAGGTTCTCTCAAGTTATTGCATTCCTTAGAAAATAAATACATTGCGCATATGGTTAAGATTGATCAAAAAAGTATTCTGTATGCCAGTGATTACATTCCCATCTGTGATTAAGGTTTTCTGTCTGCATCTGGTTTTCACATTATATTTCTGTAACAAGAATCCTTTATATAGCAGAGTTCACTTTCTGTATTTTCTATTAGCTACAGCTTGAACTACTGCACGGATCGCAGATTTACACATGTGGTTTTCATTACTTCATACCATTGAGAAAAAGTAATATTTGTTTGGGAATGTATGTTTTCCACAATTTCCATGGTAATACAACATGTTGAGCCTCTTTAATAACACTTGTAGGGCTACAAATTGTTTGAGGCATTTTACTTTTGGTGGAGTTTAGCTCTTAGATTTTCCTCAGTGTATGTTCTACTCATGAGGTTTTACAAATTTGAGGACTTTAGACCTGAACAAAGTAATTATTAAAGATAGAGACATTTTACTGTCATTTGTATGTGACACAGATTCTGGTATGGAATAATTATCACAAATAACTGGATGGATACTTTATAGTGCTCACAACTGGTGCTCAATATGAAGCGCAAACATAATACTCCAAAGCCATTATTTTGGAAAATCCATACATTAGTTCCTTTTGGATGTGTGTGTTGGGGAGGGGGGTGGAGGGCGCAAGGGGGATGGAGGCTTATTCTGTTTATTGTGATATAATGTTTCACATATAAAATAGTTAAGTGTATAAAACCCTCATGGGTAACTTGAGATTTTCATATTACTTGTTTGTATTTGTATGCTATGTTAACATTTAAGAATTTATGGACATATCCACTTAAAATATTTTGTAATGGCATTTTCCTGCCAACTTTTCTTCATTCACTTCAGAATACAATGATTAAAAGAGACATAGTGAAGATAAAAAAAAGTGAAGCAGTATATTCTCCATCGGGGATCATTTATAATTGAGAAAGTTATCTTTTAAGATAATTTAAGAAATTTATCTTTTAAGGTGACCTATACAGCAATTTTATGTACCTTCAAACTGAGCTATACTATACCACAGTGATTAATAAAGCCAGTATGAGTCTGGTGTTTGTAATCATCAGAAGGAAGAAATAGACTTGGACTTTAGGGATTGGCACACTCTTTGTCTCCTTCATTTGTTCAGTGGAGATGATGAACTATGGCTACTGGGCATGACCTACCTGTATTAGACTCTGATGCCTTTTGTTGGTGACTGTTGAAGCACAAAATATTAACAAATGTCATGATTGAATCTAAGGAAAGTATTTTTTTTTGCAATGATATTTATAAACTATTTTTACCTTACTCTGCAAACATTGGAAATAACGCACTTGTGTAGAAAATTACCTAGACTTTCATCTTCCAGAAAATAATTATAGTTAACATCTAGATGGATTTGCTTTCAATCTCTCCTTGGCCTCCCACCCACACTTAGTATTTGACTATATAAATGTTGATGTGTTTAGCTCATTTTCTTACTGAAGTTTTTGTTTTGATCTTTTGCTAATAAAATTGTTAGATTTCATAGTAAACTAAATATTTTTAACTTCTGACTGAGCTTTAAGACAATTTCAAAGTAACATAACTAGTATTGTGTTTTTCCAAATATTTAATTTTTACCAGAACAGTAAAAGACAACTGATTGCATGATAGCAGGGTCATAACGTGGCATGTGTAAAAGGGTATTAGTTAAAAAAAAACTTATATTTTACTTATTTATATACATCTGAGTATATTCACTTTTACAATCTAGAGAAATTAAAACTTGGTGTCTTTAAAAAAAATAGTGACAGTAGCCACAGTAATTTTTTTGAGAGTGCTTTGATATATCCTTATTGTTTTGTATCTATTGAGTTCCTACTTTGTGTGCATATGATTGTGTTAGTTATATTTCATAGATTATATGAATTAGTGATTCTTTTTTCTGCTCTTGGTAGTGGTAGTAGCAGTAACAGTAGAAAAGGCATTCAAAGTTTCAGGATGGATGAATGAATTCTAAACTTGCCAAATCTAGCAGGAATAATGAGACCATTTGCTTTAGAGATGAGAAAGAAAGTAGAAGTTCAGTGATTTAGTAAAATGGTTCACCAATAATTGTTACTATTATCTTTCAGCCACCTGATCATTTGTTTGAGATTATTTTAGCTAATAATGACAGTGTTTACATCTGGAGTCAATGAAACAATATGGACCCCTCTTGGTTTTGAAGCAGGATTGAACTTGCATGTAAAATTTCATAAAGCAGAAGAAAGACATGTCAGCACTGTCTAAAGAACCATAATATTTGATATACTATTTAATTATTTTTATTAAAGGAGGTTAAAAAATAACTAACACATTCTTTTTAAGGTATTGATGTACATATTTTAAAACCATTGAAGGAAAGGAGGGCGTCCAGGTTCAGAAAGTATCCAGCCTTGGGTCACATGCTTGGTGAAGAGTCCCTCTGAGCACGTGTCATAGGATCTGAGAAAGGGGGATTGTTTGTGATTCTTCTAAAATTTAGAAGTACTTTATCTGTTTCTTAAAACAAACAAAGCTGGTCTAGTATTATCATGTAAATAGATGGGTGTGCTACTTCAGACTGGATGTGATATATGCGTTTTTTTTTCCTTTGTTGTTGTCAATAGAAAAGATTGATCTCTGGGCTGGTGAACATAATATCTGTCCCAGTCCGAAAAGGAGAGAGGAAATTAGCAGAGCGATTGGTGGAGAATGATATCTGTCAAAAGAAACACTTGGAGAGCACTGAGTTTAGTAATAGGTGACTGCCGGAAAAAAGGGAACTTTGAATATTGTCAAGGTAAGGAACGGACACATATTTTGATTTTGCAATTTCCTTAACGTGCCAAAAAATTTTATTATTTTTGTTCACAATAAGTTATAATTGTGAAAATTTTTCTCTTTTCCTGATTTTTTTTCCCTAGTGCCTGTGGACAAAGAGTTTATATATATACCTGTATATATATATATATATATATATTTAAAAAATTGTCTCTGAAATTTTTGGGTGTGGGGTTGGGGGATCCATCAGTCTGCTGTGGGAAAGCGTGTTTGATAGCATTGGGTTTAAAGATATCAAATGATCAAGTACCAAGTTTTTTTCACCCTCTTCTTGTTGCAGTGCTTCTTGCCATGTTTCATAATACATCTGTTATAAGCTGAGCAAACTTGGAGATAAAGACTGAAAGCTATGCCATGATTTCTGTGTTTGTTGTAACTAGAGATGGTGTTTCCCCAAACAGTTTGTTGACTAAAGACAGAAGAAAAGTGCTTTTCAATTTATTATTTCTTCTGATTCATTTGGATTTTGGTGAACTTTTAGATGTCATTCCCTGAGCATAATTCATGTTCATCGGCATATTTAAAAAAAAGAAGTGATATAATGTTAGGAAAACAGTAAATACAAACTTAAGTGTACTGACACAGACATTTAAAAATGAAGCAGAGCCCTGAATTCAGGGCTCCAGAGAGTTAACATCTCTTGCAACCAGCCAACTCTGTTTCAGGGCTAGTGGACTTGTGCAGAAACAGAGGAGTAAGGAAAATCTGCTGCACTGAGCATCTACACAAAAGTGTGATATTGCTGGGCACTTGAGTGTTGGAAAGGGCTTTTGGAATTTCGTGATTACTTGCCTATCTGCATAGAAAGGGAAAGCAATATACTTAGCTTTTATTTATCACCATTGTTCTGGAAACATCCTTGCTGGTGCCTACTCTCAACCTCCATCCACCCTTGCAATTCCTACAAATACTTATTGGATTGTTCTTAATGTTCTCGGTAAGGTGTTGGCAAATGAGGATGTTTTTGTTTGGAGAGACCAGAGAAAATGAAATAATTCCTTGCATTTTTATAGATTCCTTTGACTGAGCTAAATCGTGATTTAGTTTCTCTTGTGTTTCCCTTTATTTCATTTCCCTTTCTTATTATGATATGCTTTATTGTGATTAGTAGAAGATATACACTCAAGAGAAAAGGCAAGGATTTCTACTTTATTAAGTAGCAGAGACAACGCTCACTTCTTCTGGCTTCTTGGTTTATGTGCTACTGTTACTAAAAATTAACTTTTTGAAAACTCACATCTTGGTTGATTTGACTTCTAAGGATCATCATAGAAAGATAGTTGGGTGTTAATCTTGTCTTGAAGGAAACAAACTGATAATAGTAACAACAGCCTGGTTTGATTTTTGTCATCTTCCATCAGAAGAAAGAAGAGGCTATAACTCTTTGCTTTCTTTCTGCCTTTTGTATCTCTGTGGGGGTTCTTAAGCTATGGTAAAAATATCCAAAGTACAGGTTACAGTGTTGGACTCAAAACTTGAGCATATAATGCAGACACTTAGAGCCATTGTTTAGTCACCAACTGCCCTGTCACAGTCACGTGGTCAGATGGTGTGTATCTGTGGCCTACTGGCAATGTGGAAGGACCATATACAGAGGCAAAAATGGATGACAGGCACACACTTTTGAGATAATACATTTCATTTGTTATAATATGCAAATACTAAATCCCAGAATCATGTATATTTCCCTCAGCTTTCCTCCACATGCATGGGTGTACCTATTTAAAAAGTAATGTCTATACATACATACTGGACAGATCCTGTGGCCTATTCTGTGACTTAGGTTTTCTTTGCCCTCTATGTAATGCTGAAATCCTAGTTTTTTTCTTCCTTTTATGCTATGATAATAATGTATAGAAACCGGGATTTCCACACAGGTTGACTCAAGAAAATAGAGAAGAGCAGAAATCTCCTACTTTTAGATTTGCACACATCCAAAATCCATGGGGCTCCTGGGGTTGTAATTTTGAAGTAGAAAAAGGAAAAGACTGAATGAAGTTGGACAGTCAAGGCTGTAGATGTGGTGGCCAGAGGGGGTGCCAGAGAGTCTGGCTGTGTGGAGAGTGATGCCAGGCAACCTCTGTTAGGGAGGTCAGGGGGATGTGATGCCAAGGGGCAAGCCACCTGCTTCGGGCAAAGCTAGTGAAGGCAAAAAGCTAGGATTATTCCTCCCAGTGTTGTAAAGCAATCTTCAAGTGCCTACAGTGCATCATCTTCCAGATTGTGGTTTGATGCTGTTCTGAAATATGTGCCATTGTAAGGGACGGATGGATCCAGCACAACTTGGAGAAGGGTGTGGCCTCAGAGGCTGGTTCTTATATAAGTTATTAAAGAAAAACTAAGAAGGATGTGATGTTTGGCTTATTTATTTTATTTTTAAAAAATAGTTATTTTTGCTTGCAGAACTGGGGTACAGGCCAGAGGTGTAGGGGCAGTGAGAGGATTCATCAGAGACAGAGTGGGGAGCAGAACAGGCAGATCCACAAAGTGCACTCACTGCTGAGGGCAGTGGTGGGCAAGACAGGAGAGGTCTGCTGTGCCATGTGGGTCACCTCCGGGGCAGTGATCAAACTCACACTGAAGCGGAACTCGTACTGAAGCCACTGCCACTAGCCTGCGGGGCTGCATTCTAACCATTTTACCACCAGGGAGGGCCTATTTGGCTTATTTAAATAAAAAAAAATACCCCTTGGCATCCCTAAAAGATGCATGGGGAATAATGGGAGTCATTCATGACAGGGAACTTTGACTGCACAGCGGTGTCACATCATGGGCAGGGTATTTTTTATGTAGTATCAATTTGTAGATATTGTATGTTTGAAAAAGCATATTTGCATTTTAAGAAAGGTGATTTTAACAAGTTCATGCAGATGATTCTGTGCACATTCAAATGCAGGAATTTTTACTAGGAAAAGAGCTAATTTATTTTTAAAGCAAAAGTTTTGTGTTTTGGACAACGCCTGCCCTTTTGGGGGGTGAGGAGCTTTTCTTGGTCATGTTCGAGGGGTCTGATAGCATTAATGGGCTTTACCCCACATGGAGCTTTGAGCTTATTGTAGCACTGCACACTGATCCCAGGTCAGTGTGATGCGTGAAATCAATTTATTTGAATCTCTTTGCCTCTATAGGAATTTGGCAGCATGCCAGTTGTTTTCATTTAATGTTCTTTGTGTTGAACACAGACAAGCAGGCATGCTTTTGTATTCCTCTCTCTTTTGGTCTCTGTCTCTTTCAGCCAATATTTTACTCTATGGATTTGAGATGAAGGAAGAATATATTCTTTATATTATTCTAATCATTGCTTAATAAGTATGTATGTGTGTATATATATTTCGCTTTCTTGCCTTTTAGGGGATTTTTTTTATTCATGAGTTTTTAATGGTGACTTTGCACACATGAAATATTTTAGTTTTTTAAATAAGATTGTTAATGAAACATTAAGTTGTATCATAGCTGGTATTTGCTTATCATAAAGCCCATTGTCAAAACTGAAAATAATGGTATTAATGACACAATACAGTAAATGTTTAACTTGTGAACTGGACTAGTAAAATAATTTCTTGGGGCACTTTTGAATGTGAAGAGTCACGTTTTAGTCCAGCCACATGCTAAAAAAATGGTTATTATTTTGTATGATTTTCTTCAAATAACCCATCTTAAGTCACTGGTGTTTTACATAGATTGGTTATATATGTGTGTGTGTGTGTGTGTGTGTGTGTGTGTTTACCAAGTTCCTGTCAGTAGTGTAATATTTTCCTTTGTAAAATTGGAGGGTAGCGATAGGGAAACAGCACTGAGGTTTCTATTACAATTAAAATTAGACCTTTCCATGGATGTTTTTGTAGGGAGGATTTGTTTCTGGGTCAGCTTTAGGAAGAGGTGGAGAAGGAAACAGGACAGAGTGAGAGGAGACTGTTCTGTTGATGCTCGGGGCAGTTCTTGCGGAAGTTGATATGCAGAACCATGGGGCTGCTGCTTTGGGGTCAGGCTTGTCCCCAGCAGCCCTGCTTCCTTGTTTAATTACCTGAAGAGCAAAACAGTCAGCCTGAGAGTGTGTGAAAAGCCAGTATCTCTTGCAGCCGCCTGGCGCTCTGACATCCTGCAAGGCCAGCCCTGTCTGTCCGCCAGCGTCAGACTGGCTCCCGCCCTGGGTTCCTTTCTTTCTGCAGGCATTGTGTGGAAGAGGGTTTGGTCAGGAATCTGAGGTTCCTGCCAGTGCATGTCCCTGCTTGCTCCTTCTGGACTACACCGACAGATAGGATTGATTCTTTTTTTTACTTTCAGGAGTTTAAAAATTTGGCTCTTTTATTTTACAGCTCCTGCCTGCTATGAAACAGTATCTCTATCTACAGCAACAGACATTAGCCGGGAAGCACTGGCCTTGTTGAATGGGTTCTCATTTCCTCACTCCTGTTCTGTGGTCCTGTGTGTGTGACCTTTTTGGGTCAGATGCACTTGAGTGTGAAACTAATAGTTCAGAGCTGGTTTTCATGGAGCTGTTTTAGAATCCTAATCTGGTCTTAGAAATAGAGTAATTCATTTTTAAACAGGGCTGAGCTCTTAAGTTTGGGTTTTTTTCCTCTCGAACTCGAATATGAACTCTCTGTGGAACTTGAATATGAACTCGGGGACATTTGTTGAGAGAAGGGCCACACCCGTTTATGAAGTGGGGGGTGATGAGAAATAATATTTAGACAGCCATGTGTGGCCAATCTGAGGGTAGTATAAGGTAAATATTCTGAAGGATGTTCGGAGATGGAACCATTTGGAAGATCTCCAGGGTATAACATGATGTTATCTTTCCAGAAGGAAATCCAGCAGGTTCTTTATCCACAGTTTGGACTGATGAAATGTCCACACTGTGGGGAGAAGAGGCGGATGGCAGAAGAGATCGTAGTGGGATTTCCTGCTGCAGGAGGGGAAAGTGTGCCAGTGTGTGGGGTGATTTGGTTTTTCCAA